GATGTGAATATGAAATGTTGATGTAGGTATCTATCACAATTGTAATTTAAATTAAATTTTAATTAAAATTAATAACAGAATTAAAAGAGGCTTAAGCGTGCAGGTATCGTAATCTCTATTGGCGTATCCAGGGAGGGGGGGGGGGGGTCGGGTGTTGGAACTTCCTTTATTTTTGCAGAAAGAGGAAGAGAGAGAGAATGTTTATTCTGTAATACATATTTTTTTTACATCTAGTATTTTCAATAAAATATGAAGTACTTCAATCCCTGCCCTTTCTGCTCTCTAGATAGAGTTTTGCTTATTGCTTCCTCCGTGTACCTTCACAATACCGTTCCCGGGCCTCTACCACCCACATGTAACTTGAAATATTTCAATATCATCGGAAAATTCCAGCGAACGAACGTACGGCTATGCCATTTTTGGACCATCTTCTAAAGTAACTAACTTTAAGAAGTATGCATAAAAAGTCATGAAAGGGAGTATCCGTAAGAGAATATTATCCTTTACAAAAATTTTGATATTTCTTATAAAAAATTTGTACATGACAATTAATTGTCATGTACAAATTTTGCCTAAGAAATATCAAAATTTTTGTAAAGGACAATATTTATCTCCTTATACTATAGGGATACTTTAATCATTGAAGAGAAAGGTTCAAAATGTCCCGTAGTATGTGGGGGAAGGGGGCTCACTTTTTCTTTAAAAAATCTTTTGTTAGAATTTGAATATATAAGTTTTAATTTGCATTGGAAGCTCCCCCGCACTTTTTGTTGCAGAAAGGTTCAAAATACAGAAAATCAAACATTTAAAAGAAATCAAAATGTACCCGAAAAGTTAGACGAAGTCCCCCCCCCCCCCTTTAAATAGGATTTTAGAGGGTGGTGCACAGGTTGTTAATTTATTTATTTATTTCTGCTTGTCAACTCTTTTTGGAGGTTGCACCCTTTGAAAACCGTTGCTATGGGCTTGAATGTAAGTGCCTGTGGTGTGACTTAGCCCCCCCCCCCCCCCTTTACTAAAGGGTCTCGAGTTATCTTAAACAATGCTAAGTTATCGATTAACTCGATCAATTTAAAAACACAAAAAAAGAGATTAATTTTGTGTGTGTGTTTTTTTTGTCTGTCTCATTTAAATAACGGAATGGTTAATATACAACACCTGCAATCGTAACTTCTCGGCAGAAGGTCTGAGAATCTTATCGCACGTGTGTAGACCTAAGCTATTTGGTCTTGCAAGCACAGGTGTGTGTATTGTTTGCTAGTGACGCTTAGACTGGTGACGGTATTTGCTACAAACATGAAGAACTATACACCAGTTTCATAACATGTACAGTTTTTTTCTAGTGAAAATTGGAGTAAATTAAAAGTCGAATATTTTGGATACGGGGTAACCCATATCTATTCTTGTTACAACGACCGTCAATGCATCCATGGGCGAGTTCATTGGTTACTCTGAAAGGTGGCATAGGTTTACCTTTCGTTAACATTTTCTACAATGATCTACTTACTTTGAGTGATTGTACTTTCATAGCAAAGTTGTTAAATTTTATTCCCGATTGGCCTATAAGTTTTGTCATTTAACTGAGAAAAAAAAATCGGGCTATTTCGATACCTGTAATGCTTAACGGCTGGGACTTGACATCTGTACTAGATTTATACGGAAGTATCCTATCATTGGAAAGATAGATGGTACACGTGTAGAATTTTTTTTTGGATGTTTCTCCCTCTCCCCCACATGGAAAAACATTGCTACAGGCCTTTATCAAGCTATATTTGGATTGCTGTCTATCAAATTATTTTGCAAACCTTGATGCACAAAACTAATGCCGGTAAACATGGCAAAGACTATCTTTTAAAACCTAGTGTTTTAATTCAACATGTTCAAGCTGTTAAGCTATCTCTATAAGTTCTTCCTACTTATTTAAAATGCTTGTACCATAGAATTTAGTTTGTATATAAGGATATATGTGTTAAAGATAAATTCAGATCTTGTTCAAGCTGTTAAGCTATCTCTATAAGTTCTTCCTACTTATTTAAAATGCTTGTACCATAGAATTTAGTTTGTATATAAGGATATATGTGTTAAAGAGAAATTCAGATCTTGGTTACGCCAAAGAATACATAAAAACGATGTGCAGATTTTAGAGCGAGGTTTGCCAATGATTGGCATATTCTAATTCGAAGAGGGCGAATTGTTTACAGGCAAGTTGTCTTAGAGGCGAACTCTCTAGCATCCTCGCGCATGCGTAGCCTGACGTAAGCCCATGGCATCCGGTTTAACTCCGCTAATATATTTTCTGCGTGGACCTCAAGGTCCACGCAATAATGATCCCGACTTTAATTTTTAAACATCGATCCCGCTTTAAAAAGTACGCATGCAAACATCCATAGTATTCCGAATAACTTCTCGGAAGTCCTCGGATGGCTCGTAGATCGCACATAGAGAACATAAACACCTTTTTGTCATTTTTTATTTAATAATTTACAACTTAATACTTTTTTTTCATATTGGGAATTTTTAGGTATGATTTTGGGAAAAACATGCACTTTTCAGCATTGGGAATGGGGCCGAATTTCGGCCCCAGAGAGACCCTAAAAAAATCCCTGTAGTATCAATATGTAAGAGCGAAATGTGTCCTAATTTTTTACCTTTGTCCTGTCCTTGAAGAGTTATCCCCCTTTGCTTTTAATCAATAAAAATCAATTCTAAAATAATCTATCTGGCAAAAAATTAGTTTTCTATTTTCTATTAGTTTTCTATTCCTAATAATTAAATACATCTTTCCACCAAAGCATTTTTTTGATATTCTTAGTATTTAAATTTTTATTTTCAAAAATTTGCTTGTCCCCATAGACCTCAATGCATTCTTCATTAATTAATTACTGCTTTGGTAATTATATTTTTGAAAATTTCTCCTGGTAAATCCTTTTCTACTCTAAAATGCTTTGAATTAATTTCCGAGTATTTAATACGGGATGGATATTTAAGGTTAGAAAATTATGTCCTTTTATGGATCGGATACCTTAATTGACCCTTTTTGGTACATGGTCTTGTGTAACCCTTTCAAATTGGAATTTAAAATTGAAGAATTGGCAAAAAAAGAAATATTGAGTAAATTAAGATTGAGATTGTAGGCCTATTCCCTACTCACATCTTTGTGACTAGCATAATCTTAAAAATTCAGATTTCTATAAGTTCTGAAAAATTCAAAAATTCAATCTGATTGTCATTTGGGATTTTTTACCTGAATTTTGGGGGGGGGGGGAGTCAATTTTTACGGTAATTTGGATCCCCATACAAGGTACTATATTAATCCCTGTGTGTATACATGGTATACGTAATGGAGGATGCCAAATGTATGGTAGGTCAACCCTTAACCCTGTATAAGTCTATTCTGACATGGCAAACAATTATATACATGTAATTATAACTAATTAACTTAATCATCCAAGAAAAAATCAACAAATTAACAGCCGTCTTGCTTTTCCACTACTTTATTTTTACAACCCGTCTGCTTTTCCGCTACAACTTCATACTGCTTTTCCGCGACTGTTTTTACTATGTCTCATGCGTTATTTCCTTTTTTTGATACCTCCGCAATATTTAAATAGTCAAAGTTAACGCTTAGCATCAAACGGTTACCAAGATTTATCTGTATTTCCCCCAGATTTCTATATTCAGTACTGAGTACTAACTCACAGTGATAAAAATTGAATGAATTTCGCATTTTACACTGGTTGGTGATGGGCTTAAGATGTTATGGAAATTGTTCAAACAGAAACCAATTGTATAAGGAGCTCACACCAAAACATGAAAGCATGCTTACATGTATTTGGATGTTTTAAATATTTAGTCCAGTGTTTTTTATTTTAATCTTTGTTTTATCTAGTGCTAATGGTTTTAAATCAATGTTCTTATCCAGTATTTTACAAGACTTATCCTGCTTAAAATCAATGTTAAAATAAGTCGCAGAAATGCAAAAAATATAATCGCGGACAGGCAGTTTTACTTGTTGCAGAAAAGCAGTGTCTAATCATGGAAAAGTGAAACTGGGAAATTAACCAACACAATAATGATGAGAAATCAAGTTCTCATGAAATTTTCAGGGGCTGTGCAATTTTCTTTATAAAGGGAGAGAGGGAAGATGGAAGAACTTTTTTTTTTCTAGATCCATCACGATATATTAGGATATTAACATATAATGATGGTCATATTTATTAATAAGCAATATTCTTATGTCAACTTTATATAGTTTGTTAAAATAAAATCAGCTAGTATCAGCATATCATGGCACTCACATTTAGTCCGATAAAATTGATTTATGATCAATTTTGGGAAATGCTTCATTGTTAAACAAGCACAAAAGGGTATATTAATTACTAAATGCACCAGATTAGAATATTTTCACAATAGTTTGCAGCGAAATGTTAAATTCAAATTCAAGTCTCAAGGAAACTTGAATAACATTTAGCTATGGGGATGACCTACCTTGTTAAAAAAGTAAGTAGAAAATTCCATTACCAGGAATACAGAAAACAAAAACAAAAGTGACAGTGTGCCTTCAAAAGGGTATAGATATATTCAGATTTGAAAAAGATCGAGTTCTAAAGAATTTACAATTCAATTTTTTTATAAGTTGCCAAAAAATATAATTTTGAGAGAAGAAAAGAAATTTTGCTAACGTCAGAATTGTAGAATTCTTTACATGTAAAATGCATTCTGTGTGAATGAAATGAAGTGATCTGATATTCAGAGAAAAATGTGTTATGTATTCAAAGTCAGTTTGTGTAATGTTCATATATACATTATATATGATGATGATGCAAGACAGTATTTTTCTATAATCTTCTCACAATAAAAATTGTTTATTACTTCATTTCAGAAAAAAGTTTTACTTCTTTTTTTAAATTCATTAAAAAAAAAAAAAGAACCGAGAACTGATTATATTACGTTCTGTTACACTGACAAAAGATTGTACTTAAGATGAGATTTGTACATACTTGGTGGGATAGAGAACTAGTCTAGTGATGAACCAAACAACTCCAAATACAGCAAAGAGTACATCACATAGTCTCTGGGCTTTGATATATTTCGCCATTTTGGCAGCCTGAAAAAAAAAATCAAGGCATTATAAAATATTTTTAACCTATTGTTTTGTCTACAAAATTAAAATTTACTAAATATATGTATAACTTGTACATGTATATCCACTTAGATGATTATATAGTCTATTTATAGTCCCTATACAAGTATTAGCTTTCCTAAAAAGCTTGTCTGACTTGAGCAAATTTATTTTTACATGAAGAATCAAGAAAAGTTAAATCCAGTGTAATCAACATGACTCTGAGTCATGAAATGAATTCTTTTGCTAAGAAACAAAAAAAAAGTTCAATTCAGCAGATTCAGAATTTTTCCTTGAAAGTGTCCACCCTGAACCGAAAATTTCTGAAGTTTCTTCCAACAGGCCTGTTCATGGATACAAAGATATAACCAGTGCTTTTAAATCTAAACATCAATCTGTGAACAATTTTGATAATTAAGAAATGTTTTATTAAAAAAAAAAATAAACGTGTTAATATGTTGACGGTGCGACCGTTGGGGTGAGCGCATTGTTCACTTCGTTTTAAGATCCGCCTCTTCAAACCGCACGAGGCATTTGGAACGTCTAGACTGTGACGTTACATGACGTTGTACGTTAAGCTGCATTTCCATAAAGGAAGTTTGAAAAGTTCAAAAGTTTTAACAAAGAACATTTAATCTACTATCTGTATGCATACTCATTACATTAAGGTGAGTTTATTTTTTGTGAATTTTTAGTTGTTGTTACCGTGCGAACGAAGTTTGCAGCGAGAACAACAAGCGATGCATTGTGGGTCCAGAATTACTGTGGAAAAAAATTGGACGAAAAAAATTCTGTTGAATGAATGTGCAGTAGTCCGAATTTTCTCTTCGCCCAGGCATTGTTGTTAGAGCTCGCAGTGACGAGCGGCGCTTCCGCTCGCTGCGCTCTCTATAAATGAATTAACATTTTTGCATTTAAGCAAAAGAACATTCAACACATGTCTTTCACTTTTATATTTTTTTTAACTATGAAGAAATCAAACGTCTGCAAGTTTTCAATATGTGTAGATTTATAAAAACTCTGAAGGTAGAGAGACTTAGTATGCATTGAATATTTATAAACATTCATTAGTTAATCTGATACAGATAATCGACAAATGTTGACCTGACCAGCTTCATTCCTTTGTTTTGCTGGACATGAATGATGCATTCGAGAATGGCCAAATGTTATATAATCTGTAATGTATAATGTGATAATAATGACACCAGCTATAATGCTCTGGCTTGTTTGGGTAGTTAGCATGTTTTCTTTACTCGTCATGCTCTCAAAATTGATAGTGAAGATAGTATGAAGTTTCCAAGATCAAGTTATCACAAGAATTCTATTGAACGACTTGACCAACAAACCTTGGCTAAATCTAATACTGTCTGACGCCATGACGTCAGACAATAATCTATACAAACGCAAACAGTTCATAACACTACATATTCACTGGTTTTGAAGCCGTATTCACCGGAGGGTTGGTGCGCGTGCGGCAGCATTGTGACATCACAATCAACACCTCAAACAACGTTGTAAACACATGGTTGCAACAGCCGGAGCCAGCTGTATATCTGAGCAGGAAAAACATTAGCCAAGCCTATCACAAGATTATTTTCTAAACATTTCGATGTTTTACAGACAGCAAAAGGAAAACACGGAAGCTATAACTTGTAATCTGGACATTTATTTTATTTTTCTACGACAGAAGTTCGTAAATGAAAGTGGTATCATCATGCAGCCTTCAATGTATTATTTATTTAAATCCGAACTATATAATAAAACAATTATGGACTCTTTCGGTGGTGAATATGGTTTGTTATTCACGAGAAAAATATCAATATTGACTGAGGCAAAGCCTCCGTCAATACTGATATTTTTCTGGTGAATAACAAACCATATTCACCACCGAAAGAGTCCATAATTGTATAATATTTCATACATATTTAATTTTATTAGCTAAGTTTGAAATCCTCTCTTTATGAATCTAATGAGGAATTTCTCATATTTCGTACACTGGTAGCCCCCCCCCCCTTCCCCCCACACAAAGTCAACTATCAAGGGTCAAACTGGACATAAGAATATACTTGACTGCACAATATCTTGAGATCCCTTTGCTTGACAGACATGAAACCTGATACACTGGTTTCCTAAAGGAGTAGATGACCACTGTAGATTTTGAAGTCACAAGGTCAAACGTGAAGGGTCAATTAGTCTAGACATAAGAAGATATTGTCTGTTCAGTATCTTGAGAACCCTTTGCTTGTCAGACATCAAACTTGGTACATTGGTTCCCCTTAAGATGACCCCTATTGATTTTGAGGTCACAAGATCAAGGTCAAGGGGTCAAACTGGACTTATGAACATATTGACTGCTCAATATTTTGTGAACCCTTTGCTTGACAGACTTCAAACTTGGTATACTTCTACATGTGTACTCCTTAAGGAATAGATAACCCCTATTCCTTATGAGGTAAAAACGCTATAGGTCAACTGGACATAGTAAGATATTTTCAGCTCAGCATCTTGAGATCCATTTGCTTTACAGACATCAATTTTGGTACGGTGATACCCTCTAAGAAGTAAATTAAATGTACCCTTAATGATAAATGAAGTCTATTTAATAAGGATTAAATTAAGTATTATGTTGCTCCTGACTAGCAGATGACCAATTTCTTTCACTATCATTCCAGCCATTCTTAATTTCAAGTTGTTACTTTTTTTTTAGCCACATAAGGGGGTATTTGTTTCTCAAACATTTCTTGTTTTAATTTAATGCCTAAGTTCTGCTCAAGAGATCACCTTCCAGTTTTTTTTTTTATTTCTTCATTAAAAAATAAAAAAGTAATTGTAATGTCTTTTTTTTTCAGTATTAGCCCAACATACTTATTGTACCATAATAAATGATTTCACATACAGAATTTAGGATACAACTGCTTAGCCAATAGGGTATTCTCTGAATATACATTTCTTAGTATTCATAAAAATAACTTCCCTATAGATAATATCTGATATACTTTAATAATAACTTCCTTAGACATTTATATATATATATATATATATATATATATATATATATATATATATACAGCGCTATGACAAAAGTATTCGCGATTTTTCAAAATGGCAGACATAAACATGACGCGCTTCGTAAAAATAAATAATAAATTGTGAAACAATTAACAGACTTACCTTTATTAATACTTGGTGAGATGGCCCTTAGACTTGATTACAGCTAATAGTTGACAAGGAATGGATTCGTACAGAGATTTGATATAGTTTTCATCGAAGGAATTCCAGATGTGTAAAATCGTATCGAACAATTCTTCAGGGGTCTTAATATTTGGAGCTCGATTTTGCAGATTTCTTTTGATTTTTAGTCATAAATTCTCTATAATATTAATGTCCGGTGATTGTCCTGGCCATACAATTGTAGGAATATTATTTTGTTGTTTGTAATCTTGAGTAATCCGAGCTCTATGGATGGGGGCATTGTCGTCTTGAAAACGATAGGTTTTGTTGAGGAAATGTCGAACAATGACAGGCCAAAGTTGATCTTCTAAAATGGATATGTATTTGACTGCATTAATATTTCCACTAATCATGCAAAGTGTACCTACCCCGTGGTAGGTGATGCATCCCCACACCATAACCGAAAGCCTTCTCTGCCGAGGGGGGCACATGCACTGCGGCAAGTAGGACTCTTTAGATGTTCTCCACACATACACTCTATGATTTTCTCCTAAAACTATCTGACTTTCATCGGAAAATATGATAGTGTTCCAATAATTATTTATTGTGAGTTTTCTTTTCTCTAAACACCAGGCAACACGCCTTTTTCTGTTGATCTCGGAAACAACCATTTTTTTTCTAACAACTCGTCGCTTAAATTCGTGATCACACAAAAATCTTTGGACTGTTCGTGGGTGAACAGAGTCATTAGCATCCCTGCTTTCATTAAATTCGTTAGTAATGTCCCTTAAAACCCCTCCTCTGTTAGTTTTAGTATGTCTTATTATCCAGTTTTGATCCCTTTTTGACAGCTTCCGAGGGCGTCCTTTTCTTTTCAAGGTTCTGACTTCACCAGTCAACAATTATTTTTTCCAAATAGATCTGATGGTTGATTCAGGTATTTGTAATAAATTCACTATTACCGATGTTTTTTGCCCCTCCAGTTTCATGTCCACAATTATTTTTTTGACATCATTTGATATTTCTGTCGATTTCCTACCCATCGTAATCCCCGTTTGTTTACATGAAATTCCAGACAGCAGACGATAAAAAAAAATAGATATAACGTCACTTCCGATGTGAAGACAACTCTGTAAAAATTTGGGATGTCAACACGGCATTTAATTAGAGTTATTGCCCATTCCCCGAGCGAAGCGAACAGCGAGAACGACGCCATTGCGTAAAAATCGTGAATACTTTTGTCATAGCGCTGTATATATTTATATATGTATATATATATATATAATCTCACATATACAGAAGTTTATTACTGGTATTGCCAGGAAATCCATCCTTATGAACAAGTTATACTGTTTTTAAATTACTAGACTTAATTTGTTTAAAATAAAGACTTTTTTTTAAATCAATCCCCCCCCCCCCCCCAAGCCATGATAAATTTGGCTTACACTTAAGAAAGAAATGAAATAACTAACCTCTAACCAATAGTCCACTGCGTCATGTATACATAACACGAGCGTCCCCACTCGTACAAAGTTTCCACACCAGGAAAAAGTTAGGAGACTTATCGTGGCACAATGATGTGCAAACATTTCCCAGAAATCCTGAAAAAAAAAGAATTTTGCTAAAATCACCTTATCAAACATAGAATAATCTTATAAAGAAATGAGAGTGCAGATTCCAGCTGCCTCTTATATCTGTCAGCTAAAATGACAATGTATTATTTTTAAATTCAAAATGATGGTCATCCCTGGAATCTAATTAAAATCGTCAATTTTTCTTGAATTTTCTTCCTAGCAAAGATTTTTGTTGTTATTTGCTGACATGATAAACCGAATAATGGAGAGAAAAGGAATCTTATTGTTGTTTTCAAGTGGAGGTATCTAGGGGGGCCTTATAAGGTAGATTTAGGAATGAAATGGGCAGATTATACTGTATGTGTACATAAATAAACATATTCAAAATTTAGCACAGTCACTGGGTATGGAGTGGTTGGCATAATCATGAATTCACACTGCACACACCTGCTCCATGTATTGTATTCATTATGATTTCTTAATCATGTTAATGGTATTCATGAATTAGTGCACAAAAACCACTAAAATATGAAACCTACATACAGTAATGCCTCATTAAAAATTATCAACTATCAATTATTGTAAATTTGATGCCAGCCCCCCCCCCCCCCCCAAAAAAAAACTTTTTGGGTTTAACTTTTGAGACAAAGACTGTGCCATTAATTGAAAAAAGAAATGTCAGAAAATGCCTCACAATAAGTAAATTTGAAAGCAAGAATGGAAAATCTCAAAATACAGAATTTGAAGAAAACAAGATATATCTGCTGGGCTGGACTCCACTCTAGAGTGCAGCAAAAAAACATGTCCATCATTTGTTTATTAGAAATATCAGAGAACAGTAAGAAGTGCTTACCTTTCTTTTTACATCCATAAATTGTGAAAACATAAGCGACCAGTAAAAAGAAATCTCTATCATGTAATACCAGAAAACTCCAGGGGATAAATGCTGAAAAACATTATAATTCACTGTGTACATGGATTCATAATACAATGAAGTGCATGAATTCTTCTCATCAAGTTATAACATTATCAGTGAATATATTATTTAAATTCAATTTTTCTTTTATTCTTCATAAGCTGTTTAATTTATATTATGTGAATCAGACAACATAACTGTCAAAGTTATATAGGAACAATGACACTCTGCCATATTAAAACATAAATTTTTAAATATCTGCTGCATTCAACTTTCTAACAGAAGGTGGAGATGAAACTGAAATTTAAGCAAATTGAGGATATCATTACCACCATTACACTTTTGGATTTTAAATTTACATTTTAGACAAATCATTGCTGAAGATAAAAATTTTAAAATGGTGTTCAAAATTTGAGTTATCTCCCTTTGCAGAGGGTCACATTACTTCTTTAAAGACTTGCATGAGAGGAAATGAAATAAAACTCAAGGGTGAAGAATTAAAATATTTCACACTTGTATGTGCAATTATTACATAATTATATTTAATATTTTTTGCTACTATAATTCATTGAAAAATTATGACCAATTAAAACAATCATGAATAAGCAAATGTTGGTTTTTTAATTTATAATTTGGAAGCTTTCACTAATTTATGCAATACAAATCAGTGCTCCAAGTTGCGACTAAAATGGTCGCATATGCAACCAAAAAATTGATTTTGCGACTAGAAATTAAAACCAACTTGCATTTTCGCGATTGAGAAAATTTGTGCCGACGATCCTCCATTTTGATGATCGGGATTGAGATTACTTTCCCCCCCAAAAATTCTCTATCAAGAAAATGTTTGAAGACATTCCTAAAACTTTGTAAAGCATTGCAAAGACTGAGGTTACATAATGTTATGACAGCATGCTGTATAGAATGGCTGACAAATGTCATAGACTTTTTCAAAACCTGACCTTGTTAATGCAGATTCAGGCAATATTGCTTGCATATCATCAGGTTTTAGCGATATTAACAGCAACTGTTTAATAGGCTAGGTATGTAGTAATAATGTAAACATGTCAAACAGCTGCCAAAGTCCTATCTCATCATTTCCACCTGATGCACACATCAGTCAAACTAGTAGCAATTGCATTGGATTTAACTTTAATTCTATGATAAAATCACTTGTGTTCTTCAGTGTGCAACCATACAAATGGTTCTATATCATAACAATATTTCATAAGTTGTTTCTTCAGCTTAGCAAATTGTTTAGTCAGAGTGATAATAAATCTTTAATTTAAAAATATGATAGATATACATATTTGAGTGTTTGTTCCTTGCTTTCATAAAATACTAAATGTGTTATTCACGAAATGTTTTCACCATGGCGAGTGAAATATCTGTTGATGGTGACCAGAAATTCAGAAATGGCGACCAAAAGAAATTTTGGGTCGCAATTTAGTGACCTGCTTGTAAGTGTGACTTGGAGCACTGCAAATTAACTACACAATACAGAGTGTGAAGGAGTAAAAATGACTTACATGCTGTGGATACCCTATCCAGCATTTCATGGAGTCAGCAAACCAGGGTTTCTATTGGAGGAAAAATATATAGATCTTTAATTTTCAACACATTGCTTTAAACTTTTCACCTATAGCATGTTAAGCAGTATTTTTTAATTTCATCATAAGGTTTTGATGGCCATTTCATCTCATGTAAAAAGGCCCTTATTTCACTTCCATTTATTGATTTAGAAGAATATGACTCTTTTGTGAATTCTTCCCTTTATTGTATGAAATATTGAATAGGAGACTTACATCCCATAAGACTGCTACACCATACACAAATATAGTAAAATAGAAGAAAAATCTCCATCTGTAAAATAGGAAATGTTTGTCATTAATATCACACAAAGTAAATCAATGGCAAGAAAGTCAGCTTTTAATCTTAAAATTTATAATCTCTTACTTTCATGTGACAGTATAAAAAATGATTTATCACAAAATATTTATTATTAAATATATTTTACAGTTATGAAATAAATCTATCAATGTTCACTTATTAGTGTAAACAACATTATAGATTTCAAATTACAAGTTTTTGCATTATAAATATATCAATATATGCAAGTTTATTTAGCTTATTCTTCAAACTGAACATGTGACTATGAATGCATGAATGAAAATCTAAAAGTCATGGCTTAGAATATGTATAAAAAAAAAATTATGCCCTCAATGGTGACACAGTACAAAATAACCTTGAGGAACAACAGTGATTTGACAGTAAATGTAAACCCAAAGTCCCTATATTGTACAGTAAAAAATAACTATGACCAGTGTTAAATTTACAAGAAATGTCACAAGATCAACATGACATTTGACCTTGATATACCATACAACTTTTACTTAGCATAGACCTATTTTCTTTAACCTTCAATTAAAAGCTAAAGTATGAAGTCTCTGTCACTGGTTTAAGGCTAGGATTACAGTTGTGGACAAGATATGAATATGTACCCTAATCTCAGATCTTGGGCCATTAAAAAGCAATATGACAGAGAATCAGATCCCTGTTTATTTCATCCTGGACACTTACGAAGCCTCGGTGAATCGCTTCATTTGACTTGGACGTTCCTGATTTCGCCGCATTCTAAACCACCTCTGTATTTGGCGTTCTGTCATATCTGTCTGTTTTTCTAATACCTATAAATAAAATAATTGAAATGAAGACTGGTTTAAAAATGTCAGGTGTCATGTGACCAAAAAAAAATGGTTTCTGGTGTGATAAAAAGACCATTAATCAAAGTAACGAATGCTGGCCCAATGACACCTCGGACCAGAGACATTAAGGCCCAGTAGCACTTTGACCAACACACTGTGATGGGTCAGCCCAAGAGTTGAGACATTATTTGGGCATTAATAGATAAATCTTTAACAATTGATGAGTCAAAAAAAATTACATTTGTACAATGTAACATCTAAAAAAATGAAATTTGCCCACTTGGCTTTGTATCAATTCTTTTAAAAATTGGATAGAATCTAGTAATTTTTTTAAGAAGAAGGTACGGTTTTAGCTTTATTGTGCCCTAAAAATTTAATGTTTTCAAGAAGTTTTGAAACTGCAGGCTTAAATATTCGTTGAGTATATGACTGTGATAAATCAGTGAAGAATACGACATGAAGGAGTACCATTCTGGAAATATAAAATCATTAATGTGCTGCATTTCTCTGTTTTAAACAGAAAAAGCCTCAAAATGACCCATTTCAGGGGTTATTTTCCTTAAGAAAATAGTGTCCACAGCCGTCGTCCACTTTAATTTTCCAATATGTTGTGTAAAATTCTTTGAAAAATCACATATCTCAAAATCTTTGTGGGCGATGCCTGTGGACAATATTATCTGAAAGAAAATTCCATTGAAAATTGGTGTCATCTGCAACTTTTTAATAAGAAACAGGAAAATGCGTAAGTTAATGACGTCACAATTAGCATTTAGAAGGTCATGTGATAAAAATGATTTGTATGTTCTTTCTGCGTGGAATTTCAATGATTCAAAAAGCATGGGTTTTAATTTTTTACATCACTTTCATTTAAAAAAAAAAAACACAGAGCAAGATTTGTATTGAAACCGTACCTTGTTCTTAATTATGGCCTAAGCTTTTTAAACAATTGACTTATGAATATTCTTAAGTTCTAAATATTAATGGTTTACTGAAAGAAACTCAGTCTAGAAGCTCAAACTTTGACCCCGTTCTGAATTTTACACCTTCCCACAAAGACTAGTTGTTAAGTTGTACCTTTATTGTTTCTTCTGATGGAAATTTCTTTACTTGGTATGAATTCTCCAAGGCACTAATAGGTGTAACAATCTTTGGTCTGCCATCCTTAATACCAAAATATAATCCTATTGGTCTAGCTATGAGGCTGAAAAATATATAGGGAAAAAACATCATTGAATGCCATCAAATGAGATCACAGGACTGTGTATATTTATGCAACATACTGTAGATTCCCAAATATTTGCGAAGAGTTAATTATCGCGTAATTTCATGAGAAGCACCATTTGCAAAATTACTTGCTTTTATTTTTATGGTGCTGAAATTCACATAAAATTTCTAATTAAATTAAACGTCTACTCGCGAATTATTGTTCTCGCAATTTGACGTCTAAGGGCCTTTTCATGATATACATGTAACAATAAGGAATCTACAGTATTGTACGAATTTTTATTACTTATTTCATCAATAATTAAGAAAATCAGAGAGGTTTGCCTCTTCCTGCAGTTCTCAGTTATGTAAATAGTTTTTGTCAGTAATCTATAGCCTAAATATTTGTCAGCAATCTCCACTTTGCAATACTTGGCTTAATACTGCTTTGTACATGCAATAAGGTCCTGATATAAATGAATTTTTATTTTCACGACATCTCTTTTTTTTAAAATACATCATATACATATCTGTCAAACCAAGTACATCAGTATCTTTGAGGTGTTTGTGTGAATCCTTATCATTGCTAAAGCAATTAAACAATGTAGAAAAAAAAACCATAATCTCCAGAAGTATATTAGTAATCTTTATTTTGAAGCCGAAATTCTGGACAAATATGAAACTTCTGTAGTAGTAACAGCTCTGTCAAATAGATAGGTCAGGAATACATTTCAAATTTTGAATACCTCACCTTGACTCACTCCCCCAAAAACTCCCTGCCCCACCTCACACACAACTCATAACCATACATTGTTTCTAACATTTTCCAGTTAGTAAATGACATACATTTTACAGTCTACATAAATTCATACTTTTTTTTTTAATTTAGCAATTAGACCAAATCTAGGTCTGCAAATCTCTTTATCTTTAATCTATCGTGCAGTACAAATCTGAACTCTATCTTGATCATCTGTATGATGACAGTATAACTGTTTATCTTAATGATATTGTCTGTACATCTCCCAGCTGAGTGAACAAAACACAAAGTCTGTCCCTTGACTTTAATGACCCCTGTTAATAACCAGTCTAGCATTAGTAATGGACTATGAGCAGAAAACATGTGACGGAGGTTTAATGGTCACACATCTACTCGAGAACCTAAAAGGTCTTCTAAACATTCTCTAATATAACTGCTATTCACTCATCATATCAAAGTCCTGCTGTATTTTCTGCTCAAGGTGAAATACCATTACCTGGCCATGAAATTGCAATGAAACTTTCAACATATACATTTGTACATTTAGAGACAACTAGGGACCCATATTGGAAAAACCCACTGAACAGACCACTCTACATATGAGCAACATACAATTTTCTTCCTTTTAATTTTCCTTCATTCCTCTTGTCTGTTCATTTCTTTTTAAATAATTTTCATTCTACACTGAACAAAATGGATCACGGACTATGATAAGTACTGGAATTGTTTTATATTTTACAAAGACAGTATCAAACATTACACAGTTTCACGCTAAACACATTGATATATACCCCTTTTTTAAGTCACGCGCTACAGTTTCTTTTAATTGTATGTACTACACTATTAATTTATAATCTGATCAGTCTGCACACTCAATTTAAATGACACACATTAAATCTGTTACAAAGGTCAGTACCAATATACCAATCCTCAGTTTTGTGAAATTCAAGCAGACTTGCAAGCAAACTATGAACAAAAAGAACACAATTTAAAAAATAAGTGAATCTCAGGTTTTGTTGGTAACATGCATTTTGAACAGAGATCTACCTGTAATGCCTTACAAAAATGGCCCTGAATTGTTGATACATGTTCTTTATTGAAAAATAAAAGCTTGGTTTGGTAAAGTGATTCAACCCCTGCATGCATTCTTAAGATAATGTCTAATACAAACAAGAAGACTGGATTTCTTTTAGAAGCCGTTCCTTTAGCTTATGAAGTTACTCTTTATTTGCTCTTATCCCATTCCATGTAACAATAAATCCTTTTATTCATAATTCAGAGCTGAATTTCCAGATATGTTACACACAGAAGAACGTACAGCATTTTTTAAAGAACTTTTGCAAGCGCACACAAAGTGACATATGAACCACTACTACATGTATTATAACAGGTTTGTCCCTAAGAATTGAAATAGCAGGGGATATTAGAAAAGTAGAATGGTATCTGCGGTTCATTCCTTAACAGGGGGTTTAGGGGAATCTCAAAATAACCGGGGATTACGATATTGTAGGTGGGGAAATTCCCTGGCCCCTGGGTCCTAGGGACAACCCTGTATAACAACCTAATGTACGCCAGAATAAAACTGAAATCTCTATAAATAAATGATTTTTTTTGGGGGGGGGGGGGGGGGGGAGGGGGTTAACGACAATGGGCATTGATCCACTCAATCACCAAACCATTTTTTCTGTGGTTTTAATTAAAGACTTAACTACATGTATACTCATGATATTTATACAGATCTATAAATCAATATTCTATTTTGAAATATCATAAATATTATATAACACATGATCATAATGCTTATTTAGGCAGAGGAAAGAAGTATATAGAGGGGATCGAATGGCACAGTTTTATATATGTATAAGTGTAATCTTCAAGCTTAATGTACTTAAAACAACAAAAACAAAATAATCCTAAGTCCTGTTTCAAGATAAAGCATAACAATTAATCCACTTGATTGCATAATATTTCTCTTGTATTAAGAACATGTATCAAGAATCCTTAATCCTTAAAGTCATTGACAGAATACTAAACAAAGCTCTCAAGGACAGAGTCTGGAAAAATAACTTCTTTTTTTTTTGTATAAAAATTTGCCTTCTCTTGGAAATAGAATGAAGTAAAAGATATTTCTATTATGCATATTTTACAATATTTTAATGACATTATTTTATTTGGGGGGGGGGGGGGGGGGGGAGTACTTAAAAGATAAAAAGTCATGTTCATTTTGTACTTCATTGTCTTCATATTTGTTGAAGAAAAACATCAAAAATTTAAATATGAGAGTGTCTAGGATTTGAATCACTGGGCTTGTTGACTCAGGTCTTTATCCCACTTGCACCAAATACTTCCAGTCTTCAAGAACTTGGTACGCAAGATTGTGTAAATGTGTGTACATAATGAATATGTAAATAAAAATTTCCTGTTCCCCTTCATTTAAGCCCCCTAACATAAGAAAAATGGAATTTTTTAAATGAAATTCTATACCAATGAATATAACATGACTACTTGACGTTGTGCATAAATTATGTATTTAGATGTGTTGCTCAGATTATGCAAAATAACCATACTTTTCATTTGAGGCCCTGCATATGCCTTGTTCATGCCAAGTTCAATAAAAGTGAACTTTTTTGAACTTGCGAAAACACTCTCTTTCGGACACATATTGATTATTAGTAGCTCTTAGATGAATGAACCTTTCACAATCACTAATTCTAAAATATCTACTCATCCAGAGTTCTTTGTTTAACATGTTCAAGTGGTAGTAGTCATATTTTCTATGATGTGAAAAAAATTTTTGTTTAACTGTATGTAAATATGCTATTCTAACTAGAAATCTGACCAGTCAGGAAGGGCCCCGCCGAGGGTTAGAAATATAAGGGTGCAGATTAGGGGATGAGAATTTTACTTGATTCCAAAAAAATTTCAAATATACAAAGAATAAGCAACAGCAACTGCTACATATCCAACAATCTGTAAATAGTATCCTTGTATTTACATAAGGCAGTAAAAAACATCATATCTATAATAACTCAATTAAATGTATATTTAAAAATGAATGAAGCATGTGTTTTCTAAAATGCCAGCCTTCAGTGAATGCAAATATCGCCCAGGGTTGACCCTAACTCCAAAACAAATATCAGTTGCAGACAAAGGTGTTAATTAATCTTAAAGTGACAGAAAGATAACCCTCTAAAATATTCTGCAAACCAGCAAGATAATCAAACCCACGGGATTAATTATACTGCTCTCTCAACCTTTTCTTCTAATTAAGTTTACAATGAGAACTTTTTCAGCAATGATAGAATTAGGTTATTATCTGAATACCTGTTAATTAAAATAATTAGTATTCTTGAATTTACATAAGGCAGAAAAAAAAAGAGAAAAGAAAATAATAATAAAAACGATATTTTTATCTATATCTTGTTTTTAGAATTCAAGAAAATCATAACTCATTGTGTATTTTACCAAAATAAAGTATGAATATTATTTAAATCAGCATTTCAGAGAATGTAAACATCATTCAGAATTGACCTTAACTTCAAAACAAACTTCATTTTCAGACAGAGGTGTTAATTAATCTCAATGTGGCATATAAAGATAAATGCTTTGGATTTTCTTCAAGAGGAAAGATAATTAATCCCGAGAGACTCATTGCAGCCTTTCACAGTTTACAATAGGAACATTCTCAGCAGTTATCTCTCTTTGCCCATTCACTCTTATATAAAGTTAAGAAATCTACCCCACCACCCCAGCTCCAAACCGGATGACATAGAGAACCAAACTTAGCACCAAAATATGTCTTACTGCCTATTCAACCAACATACCAAATTTGAACTTAATTGGTCAACCCTAAAAAAAGTTATTAGAAAAAAAACAGAAAATTTGTGGATGGAAGAATGACAGATGGACAGACAGACAGACAGACAGACAGACAGACAGAGTGATTACTATAGGGCACCCGCAAATCCTTGCGGGGCCCTAATAATCAATTTTATATTATATTTTTCAGAATTTGTTTACCTTGTTATATTTTAAACAGCATGATAAGAATAACATGAATAATGAAACTTTCAAAGAACAATTAATGAAGAGCGCAGTGCACTTTTAAATTATTTCTGGTTTTCATTGATCTATGGATTTTGTTTGATGGCCAAACAATACATTTTTTTTTTAAATTTCACACATACACCTAGTTAGCAATATCAAATAACATGATCATTGATGATAAAAATTGTTGGTAAATCCTCTACCACAGTACGGTTTCAATTAATACTTAAAGAAATTGCAATGTAAACAAAAACAACTAAAGATTATAAGAATAACACACATAATAAAAACACTGTTACTTTTTTGGTTGACGTACCGTGTATGTATTTAAACACATAAAGGATTGATTTAATTAGATTTTTTTTTCCAATAATCCCCAGACAAAGATTTAAAAGTCCTGTGGCTTTCCTGCACTTTAAACTGTTATTTACAATGAGGAAAACATAAACAAATTAAGACACTAAAAATTTCTCTGTCCTCATGCATTTCTCAAATCAATAACTGATATCAATCGATAACTACTGATACACTGTACCAGTTATTGGGAAGGGTTTGTGCCATGTGCCATAGTCACACTGAAGTGAAATTGGCACAATAAAGCAACCATTGGTGGTGCGAAGGTGCCCATTCAATTTTTAGCAACGTCTATTGGAAATATTTTGAGCACGACTTTCTTAATTGTTTTACTTTCGTTTTAAAATGCATGATCATTTTAATACAAATTCCATTGGCTAAAACGTACCTGTCAAAAAATGTTTCCCGTTATATGAAGCACTCATTATCATGATTATAGGACAACATACCATACGTCACTACATTATACACCTCACTCGGTTTCAATGCTCAATCAAACTTTGATGTTACTGATCCAAAAATATGGGTAAATCCTATTGTATATGGGTTCCTTTAAATATGCTGCACTGCATACAAGTAAAATTAGATTTAATTAGTGAATTTAAAAAAAGTGATTTCTTGCTTATTTCATATTTGATTGTCAGTTTGTTATTTCTTCAAAATGCTCCTCAGAATATATAGATAGACCATTCATTTTCAAAATGGCCCATTTTAAAATATTTGACAGTTGTGCCATTGTCTCATGATGTCCCTTTCAAACACTGTGATACCTTTTCCAAAAATGGCAAATACTTCTCAATAATAATCAATCCATTAATTTTCAATTACTATAGAATTAACTATAAACTGCTTGTCCAGGTGACCCTTAAATGGTCTTAAATCATGCAGTACAAAACTTTTAGTGACATTTTAAAAAAAATGTGTTTAAAAAGACAACAGTATTATGTTTCTGCCCTAGGACATGTAATATATAAATACATGTACATTGTACAATGTTTATACAAACATAAATTTTGTTTTCAGAACAAAAGATTGACATGTCAAAGTATGTGAAGCATGCATTCTATATAAAATGTTTTGATGTTTGGGGGTATATTGAATTCTTTAACCCTAAACATATATTTAGTGCTTTTTTAACAGTTGTTAATATTTTACATTTTACAACCATACTGCTTATTGACACTGGTCATTAGGTGTAAGGTAGTCCCCTAAATTGACTTTCATTGCTGACAAACAACAAAGGGACTTAAGCCTTCAGGTTTAATTAATGATTGAAGACCTTTTTTTGCTTTCTTGAACTTTGATGAAATAAAAAAAAAGCAACTGTGCTTCAAAGATCTATAAAAATTTAGATGTTTCAGAATTGTAGATGAAGAATATGGCAAGTAGCATTAAGGCCATCTTTAAAATGATGTTTGTTTGCCCCCTCCCGACTCAGGGTAAAAATACTATCTAGGTTGGTAGGTAGGTGCAAAAAAAATTTTCAAAGAAACTTTCAACATATTTGTTGATGGGTTGAGAAAATTCAGGAATGAAAAGAAAAAAATATTGTTTCCTAGACAGGGTTCTCATTAACGCAAGAATCTGCGTCCTAGACGCAGCAAAATTCCTTGGGACGCAAGGTTCTTAAAAACGATGCGTCCGCGGACTCGTGATCGGACGCGTCCTCGTTAGCGAGAAAATTCGGGAGATTTCGAAAACGGGGAATTTAGATGTTAGGATTTGTCAAAGAAATATTTAATCGAAACCTTCATGTAACTATCATAAAGTTTATCCAAGAAACAACTTTTCTTGTACTTATTTCACTTTTTTTAAACAGGGATTGATCATAAGATATTTCATGTTTATTAGTCCAGTCATAATAGTGTCGCATGCCAAACTTTAAAAAAAAAAACACTTTTGAATCTTGAGTGTTATCTACATGCAGAAACCATAATTACTGCTTGTATACACAATGGGGCTTGCTTATCTCGTGAATTTCACCCAGTGCAGACGACCGACAGGATTAGTTACGCCTCATTGCACATGACACCTGTGATTGTACACAGTCAACTTTTGGGTACTAGTTGATTATGCAACAGTTAATTTTAGCTTTATAAACACCAAGTTATTTTTATGGCAATTGATTACGCGTGTATTTTAGAATATGGCTTGAATGCATTACTAGTTTATATACTTGAATATGTTAATATTGCGTAAACAAACTGATAAAATGATAAAGATTTTTATTGATGTTTGGATGGAAGAATACTGCAATATTTTAGTTGGGACTCAACATAATTTTTCTGGGACGCATCAAATTTAGCTGGGACGCAACCTTCTCAGAAAACTTGAGTCCTGGGACTCAAGTTAGCAAAATCCTAGTGAGAACCCTGCCTAGAGGTTAAAAAAAGTTTTGAGTCTGGCCATTTTTAGCCAGTCAGTCAGGAGAGGACAAACAAACATTTTTTTAAAGATATGGCCTAATGGAGAAATCTTTACAGGCATTTTATTTCTGTAGGATCCCATCTGGCCAAAATGGTAAAAATACCAAAGAAAATAAATCATTCTCCACCTTAAACACTTTGAGAAAATCTTCTTAAATATTAAGCAGATTGACACTTGTTGCCCATATGGGATATACATATTAAATAGCCCTATTTGCATATAATACCTTGAACATGTTGAAGGGGATGCTTATTTACTGAGCAAAAGTTAGAAGATGGAAACATATTTATATCTTTTTGTAAAACAAAAATATAAACATGCAACTACTTTTCTCAATCAAGTTTTCTATAACCCTAGCCTGTAGATTTCTTTTCTCAAAACATGTTTCTTAAAATTAAGAAATACAGTTGAACTTCTGTATCTCGAACACGGATACCTCCAATACCATGGATATGCCAAAGTGATTGGGGAAAGTCCTAACCACATATTTCTTAAGTATTTTACCCTCGGATATTTCGAAGTTTTTTCTCATTCCCATCGAGCTCGAGATAATGAAGTTTGACTGTTCTCTCAAATGCACCAGCAGGTGACTCACTCATTTACACTCTCACTGGTGAGGCCTGATATACTTTTAAAAGTGATTAATAATAGACCCATAAAAACATAAAATATTACATGTGTAATGGTGGAAGATTTATTTTTGCTTATTTATTATATTATACTTGTATATAATTATTACTATAGTAAACTGTATTGCGTTACATATAGTATTCAGTCGGGAACGTTGCTGGCGCAGCGCGTGGGTCAGGCCGTTCTTAGCAACATCTGCGACCGGCCTGACCACCGTGATACGCCTGTCGCAGTTCCAGCTAGGCACCAGAAGTCGGTGGACATGAATCAAATCTATCGTTATTGATATAGGTAATAATCTTCCACCAACCCCTAAATTTCACTTGTTATTTATATATTTGTTATCTGATTGTTAACTTATTAAACCTGTAAAACGTTATTATTGTTTTTGTCACTGTAAATCACAGAACTCAGGGATAATATGGAAACACACAAAGTTTCCCGTTACACATGAATATTGTTATTCCATAGTATGATTTGTAGATTGCTCAATAAAGACTTCGCCTGTTTTCCAATCCTTAATGAATTATTTAATAAAATAAGTTCAAAGTAAGAATATAATTTTAATTTTAAAATTTTAAGAGTTTTATGTATAAATTATATATTTAAGTTTATGTGTAACGTGTTAATGTCGGTAAAGCCGGTTTTATATACTGTGACCGAGGCTATTCGGAATGTGACTGACGCCATCGAGATCCGGTTGATGTGCTCATCTCACGACAGTGCTGGCTTACTTTTCAACATTCTATAGAATATGAAGTTTTCTTCATGCATTTTGTATAAAATCTAAGTTTTTCTTGTAACGTTAGCTACTAAACGTGGCTGGGGAAGAAATCGTACGATATTCCGTTCGAGTTCTCTCGGGACACACCCTTCGATCACATGCTTTGACTCACCTTTCAAAACATTTACGGACTGCAAATACAACAATTGCAAGAACAAATGGGATGTAGAGATCTTTCGCCTGTGGATAATATAAACCATCGTTTTTGTTTTCTAAGTCTTTCCATGTTACATTTTCTGGCAACCAAAACCATTCACTCCAAAAGGTGTCGTACACCGTTTTCCACGCCATTTTCTTATTCTATTTAATGTAAAATTTAAAGCCGACTAAGACAGCATAACAAAATCCGGAAAATGAGAATGTTATTGATTGCAATATTTTTCCTGCTACGTGATAAATAAAATTTATATAAAAAATCAAATACAATTGCGTTAAATTTAATTAAATGTCTTTATTTCTTATAGTCTATGTTATTATTTTTGGTAGAAATCCAACTAAAGAATAGAATTCAAAGTCTATACCACAAAAGTCCTCGATTAACATTAATGATGGGATAATGACAAATACATTTTCAAAAACACTAGTGATTTACAGGGATGGGATCAATCACAAAGGAAAGTAATTAATTAAATCACAATTACTTGCCCAATACCTTCAATTAAATTACTATGAAATTATTACTATTACAAGGACTTTGAAATGTAATTTTAAAAATTTGATTACATTTATTTTGCAAATGTAATAATAATTAAACTAAATATTACATTTTAGGAAATCACTTCAATCTTTAGTCATGAACGTTCCTTTATATTCATATCAGATTCGATTACTTTGTGTACATCTATCAGGTCTGAAAGTTTTTTTCTGCACCACTGAAGATACTTTCCACTGGGGAATATGTACAGAAATCAACAGATAATTAATAGTATGAAATAACTCATGTTTTTACGTTACTTCATATCTGTTACAAAATTAGATGACTTTTTTTCTAATTACCTTTCTAAGATATTTATGTATTTTGCCTTGATGTTTCCTTTTTCATCATTCTAAGCTATCTCTAAATGTTGGTTCATGGTTTTGAGATAATATGTGATAAACTACTAGTATTTGAAATGCAAAGTCAAAAATGTGTGTGAAATATCTATTAACGTTAAGAGTCAATATTTACATAACCTTAGTGCACTGATTATTAGCACTTGTTATAGTCACTTCTAACACAAGATGTAAACGGATATGGCAAACAAAAGGTTAGAAGTCATTACACTATAGGTATATTTTAAATGTCAATGCATAAAAAAAGCTTAATCAAAATTGTTGATTTCATTACAGTAAACTATACACAGAGAAATTATTTTGATTCAAACAAGTTTTAAGGAAAATGCATAAGAGGAGACAGAATTTCACTAAAAAAGAAAGCATATAAATCCTTTTAAAAAAAATAACCATCCAAATATTTTATCAAAAAAATTATTTAAACTTTCTTGAATAGTGTGTAGGGAGGCGGGGGGGGGGGGGGGGGAGGCAGGGTGGTATTTTGCATTCATTAAATATCAGTGTAATTGAATGTAATTGAAAATCGATTAATTAAGTTACAATTACATGTAACTGAACATCTGGCCAATTACAAATTTTTTTCAATTATAACGAAATTTGTAATTAATTACCGTCAATTACCTTTACACACTACCATTACCCCCCATCCCTGCTGAAGTGATGTAATCCTAGCCAAAAAGATTTTAAATAAAATGAATGGATTGATGTCACTTAAAAAATGGCAGGAAGCTATGGAAACAAGCAATTTAATTCAAGTATTCAAAAAACAGAATTGCAAATACGTAAGATTCTAACTAAATATCAGCAGCTGCATGGGCAAAGAGGTCAATCATAACTGAAAACAGGAAAGAGACTTTATAAATGAACTGAACTGGCTGTCCATAGAGGAGATTAAAACACTTATGTAACATCGCAAAAACTCTGAGAAAGAGATCTGGTAAAACTCGGTAAAAAAAATATGCTAAAGCTATAATGTATACATGTGGATCTAGAGGAACACTAAATAGATGGGCCAAATACTGGTAACGATCTAATATAGTCTAGAAAATGTATTGAGAGATGGACGAACCAGGTTAAGAGCGGTCAGAATCTTCACAGACCAAAAAATGCACTACGCGATCTTTTATAAGCAACTTGTACAGTGGCAACAATCACTTCACTTCAACTTTAACCATTTTGAAAAAGCAATTGATATCATCACAAAAAAAGTTTTATGGAAACTACTAGGATATAAAGGAATCCCAGTTAAGATCTACAACGTGATAAAACGTGACATCGTACAAAGTCTAATGAACAAGAGAACTCTTATTACTAGAATCATTTATTGAAAAAAAAAAAATAGTTAAACAAGGTTTTCCCTTATCGCCTACACTATTCCTTATAGCTAGCGGCCGGGTAACAAGACAGCCTCTTACAAAAGTGCAAGATAAATTCAGCCCCATTTGGTTGGAGAATATTCTTCCTAGACTTCATGGAAGACCTTCCATTTCCTTCTCACACTCTAACAAACAGGACAAACAAGAAAAAACAGATGGGACAGGAGAAAGGGGGGGGGGCTAAAGATTTATACCAAGAAAATAAAGTTTATTTAATACAGGCTTTTGCAATGCTAAGTTTAGCACAGAAGTCTAGAACAACGTCAGATAACGCCAAAATTAGAATATTCAACACCAATATGAAATCCGTCTTTCTTAACATCTTTACCCTAAATACTGTCCCCTTAATGGCATTTCTCCTCTCTTTAGTCGCTCTTTATGAGCACATGCATCAACAGATCTGTCTTGGAAGAAGGACAAACATGGAAGCAGCTGGTATGAAATTAAAGGTGCTAACATTTTCTTCGCCATTTAAGTAATGTGTTAAAAAAAATCTTGTTTGTGATATGACTCTTGAATAATGGGAGGGGCTGGTTCCCCTTTTTTTTCAGAAAAAGTATTTTGTTGCATTTCAATTTTGTGTGGAAATTCAAAGGTCGACTGCCAGAGAAATTACTATTGAATAATTAAGATTAATGTTTTGATTTTTTTTACTTAAAAAATTAAATTACAATTCATGAAAGTCCAATCAAAGCAAGTAAGTGTATTCATATTTGAATATAAAGTTTAATTAACCTGTTTTCAATAAAAATACGAACACACAATCACAAAGACATATACAAGCAATTCAACACCAATACAAAGAATTTTCAAAGAGCTAGTACAGTATAATAATTATGAACCATTGAAAATCTTTACATACATAATTTTTTTAACCTAAAAGATATTGAATTCATTTGCAACATACACAAACAACTACATGAACCTGGAACATGGCGTCTCTATGGATTTCTTTCTCTAGAAGCTACATGCACTTCCTAGCTAGTGAGCAATTTTGGGGGAAAACTACTAAATACAAAGCAAGCTCAAATAATATTATACATCAATCTATAACTAAAGAGTAAGTTGTGGGCCTTGAAAGGGACGCTCGAAATCAAATGGTAGTTGAAAATCGTCACGTGATGCATACGGCGAGGAATTCGGTGGCCTTGAGTCTTGATTAGGTCGTAGTCCGGGTAGAGAATCACCAAAGAAAGGTCGACTATGTTTTAATGGCCGAAAAAGTGGATCCTCTAACTTTCTGTGAGATAAACCTTCCCTCATTTGCAAATGAAATGGAAGATTGGGTGATCTTTTAAAAGGTGCCATATCAAATGAGAAAATTGGGTCATCAATCAGCTGTTGAGGTATTTTTGGTGATCTTCTTGGAAAAAGGGGCATTGCATGAGGAGGAAAGTATCTTCTATTAATTGGTGGCGGTATGAGAAAAGGCGAGTTTACCCTAAGGGGTAATTCTTCCCTATATCTAATAGGTGATGGTGTTAATGGCTTGGGCATAGATCTTGGAAAAGGCCCTATGTTACCAAATCGCAGTGTTGGAAATGGTAATGGTACATGGCGAGGTAAGTGGCCTCTATATCGAGAAGGTGGTGGTGGGAAAGGCAAAGGGGCTCGAAAAGGAAAGTCGTCTTTAAATCCAAATGGTGGTGGTGGAAATGGCAAGGGCATCCGTCGAGGAAAGTGACCTCTAAATCCGAGTGGTGGTGGTGGTGGGAATGGAAATGGTACACGGCGAGGAAAGTGGCCTCTAAATCCAAATGGTGGTGGTGGGAATGAAAACAGTGCATGTTGTGGAGAGTGTCCTCTAAATTCGAATGGCGGGGATGGAAATGGAAACGGTGCACGTCGAGGAAAGTGGCCTCTAAATCCGAATGGTGGTGGTGGTGGGAATGGAAACGGTACACGGCGAGGAAAGTGGCCTCTAAATCTGAATGGTGGTGGTGGTGGGAATGGAAACGGTACACCTCGAGGAAAGTGGTCTCTAAATCCAAATGGCGGCGGTTGGAATGGTAAAGGTCCACGTCGAGGAAAGTATCCTCTAAATCCGAATGGTGGTGGTGGGAATGGAAAAGGTGCACGCCGAAGAAAGTGTCCTTTATATCTATATGGTGGTGGTGGAAATTGCAAGGGCACACGACGAGGAAAGTGGCCTCTATTTCTGAATGGAAGTGGTGGGAATGAGATGGGTGCTTGACGTTGTAAGCGCTCCTTATAAGCAGGAGAAGGTGGCGGGAATGACATTGGTATATGCCGAGGTAAATCACCTTTGTTTCGAGGAGGCGGTGATTGGAATGGTAAGGGAATAAATTCTTCAAGGTCAGGAGGTTGAGTTAGAGGTTCAGGTTGTGTGAACTTTTCAAATATCGTACGCATCTTCGTTGGTTGTGATGGAAAATTCTGATTTGTACGTGGGAGTGGCTGATTCCTTAAACCCCCATTATGGATTAGTGGAGCCGAGGGTGATCGAATGGAATTTCTAAACCTTGCTGGTGGCCTTGGTAGATTTCTGTTGCGCGCCAAATGTGGGTTCATCAGTGGATTATATGTACCTGCACCCTGAAATCCATTTTCTACTTCAAAGTTTATGCCATTTGGTCTGGAATCATCGCCATTATGAGGTGTTGCTGATTCAAAATTTGACATCAAATTATTTTGTGCATAATTGTTGACGTTTGGTTGGTTTCTTCTCGACATAGATGATTTCCTATAGGAACCTGTAATAGGTGGATCGTTAGAAAGGATATTGGTTATATCAGGTTGTTCCAGACTATTTTTCAACGGTATCCCATCTTCACCTTCACCTGCAAAACTCTTTATCCCACGATTCTGCTGAATGGCCTTTAAAAGATTCCGACTAGGACTGAATGGATTGTTAGAAATTTGGAGTCCTTTTGGTGTGTTCCAGTCATAAGGAATAGATCGCACCTCATCTGTCAGATATAGATGCGGGAGTTGGAGGACCGTAAGGAAAAACAGCAACTGTGTCACATTTGACATAGTGCTTTATTTTTTTTCTTCTAAAAAACAAAAGAACGTAAAAAAAATAATCGTCTTTTAAATACGTTTTACATAACATCATGTTACGTATATCCAGCAAAAGTTTTTTTTAATGAAGAAGAACCTGAACTGATATAAGTAGTCGTATATAATTTCATAGTTTTGGAAAATGTTGAAAAATTTGGAGAACGTTCTTACAAAATGTAGAATTTGGTAAAATTGACAGATAAGAGGCAAGTGTGATTAATTAAAGGAATTTCATATCATCAGAAGTGCAACATAATTCAGTTTGTATAAGAAATAAATTTATAATAAAAGTTATACCAGCTAAAAAAATTTTTATCAATAAACCAAGAATCATGTAATTAATACAATGTAATATGAAAGGATCATGAAAAGTTTTACCAGGCAAATGAATAAAGAAATCATGTTTATGTTATCCATTATAAAGAGTTCTTAAAATAATAATTTGCAAAGTTACCTGCTTACCTTAGATTATTCAATTTGTATAGTCTTATAAAGTGAGTATCACGGCTTCATTTGACAACTCTTAAATTCATATGTCTGTTTTTTTCACAGAGGAAATTCTTATATATTAAACATTTGCATACATTTGCATAATTTGCATTACTTGACAATATTTAATATTTTGTAATTTACATTTGTAAGATGCTAATTAACGGTGGTTATTGATGGATAATGCATAAGGGTCAAGGCAACAAAATGTCTCATTACAATTCCCCTCTACATGTACATGTCCTTTTGAGAAAAAAAAAATAGAATTTCAAAAGAACTGATAACCATTAATCATTTCTTGTGTTTTGAAAAAAATCTTCTTTTTTCATCGTTGTAATCGATAACATCTAAAACTAAGCATGGAAATACCATCGAAAAGGAAAAAAATAGCATACATTAGATTTATACAGTATGTCTATGGCTTCGTAAGCTTGGATTTTATTGCTAGGTCATTTTACATTGCTGCTCTCGTCAGATGCACATATTTCATTTCTTTGATATTCTTTCTCCCTATTTTTTTAAAATCATATTTTGATAATTCATACCATTCGATCTCAAATAACGTTTTAGAAGTTGGAGAAATAATAAATATTAATTTTATCCTTGATTCGAGGTCAGTTCAAAAGTGGTTGCTTTTCTGAAATCTGTTCACCTACACTGCAAACTATAATTTATAAACGAAAGTGAATAGAGGTCATTGAATTACCTGAGGTAAAACTTATCCTGAGGTAAGTAAGGGTTTTAAAATTGTGGAAAAAAATATAATCTACATATTTTTTTAAATTTCATTTTTTACTTTGAGACAGGATGCCATTATTTCACATGTATCTTTGTTGTTTTATTGTAATATTTGGCATTAACAATTAATCAATTAATTAATTGATTTATAAACATACATAACCTATTGCAGACAAGGGCTTGATAGTTTTCCTCATTACTACACTTTTAAGTGTACATCTAATTATCATAACTACGTAAACAGACGTGGGAGAATGCTAAAAAAATACAGGTGTAGTTTAAAAAATTCCTTGAAGAAAATGTATGACATAGTGATACATGTATATAAATAAAAAAAAAAACAAGTTTTTAAAACTTAGGTTTAATACATATGTGGCTATTAAAAATATATAATACATGAAGATATTAAATAGGAAAACAAAATATAATTAATAAGGCATATATTTGTTTCTGGTGCCTTTTTTTTTTTTGACAGTTTACGACCGTTCATCATAAAAGCCATTTCCACATGTCAAACATAGAATATTAAATTAGATTAAGTATTTAATTAAGTTAATGAAAACTAAAACAAATATGTTTATTTGAAAAGTTAGGAAGATCATCCATTAAAACCAGAAGAAATCTGAAATGTATAAACCAAAGCAATAGTAGAATACCCTGTACTTTAATTTTACCAACTTATAGTATAATTTAATTTTGTCAACTTTCTTATCCGTATTCTGTTGAATTAATGTGAAAACCATTACCTCTTCTGATCATAACAGAGAAAGAAAACAATGAATAAATTGTGTTCCTCTCTCATGCAACCTTTTCTGTCTTTTAATCTTTTATTCTAAAGGTGAATAGTTGTTTACAGAAAAGAGGTGTTTTGTTTTGACGAAGTTAATCAACCTCTAATAACCCTGAATAATATATTTTAATATTACGAAAGGCTAAAGGCTTCACACTGTAAACTTTTATAAAATTTAAAATGACACTCAAGATTTTGTTATTATGATTAAGTTCATGCATGTACATGTATAATTTAATTGTAAAAACTGAGATTGACTGCCTTTACAAAACTGAAACTTACGCAAACAAATACGTTACTTTGCACTTTTATGCCTTTTTGAAAACATCTTTTTTTGTCCTTAAAAAAATAATTATTGACATTTGAATGCAAATATATTTATCTGACATTCAAAAGTAATCAAGCTGATAGAGGACATGGCATATACAAGTCCCCCAGAATTAACGAAATAACATTTTCTATGAATACTGCATACATATTCAATTGTAGACTACAAGGTGAAATACAAGTATGTTTAAAAGCATCATAACTCAAAAGTGTGGATCTTAAGGTCAAACTTATTCTGGATTTATTATCTAATATCCTCCCTCCGTAAATTCTACCAGTTTGATTTGTTATTTTGTATGTATGTATTTTTTCTTGCAAATGTAGGAGGAGTCGTTTTGGTTTTTATTGCTGTTAAGTGGTATCACAAAATCACTTAATGAAAATAAAAAGGTCTCTGAGAAATTAAGTCTATTGTTGTAAAATTTATTGTACATACTCTCTAATATAATTACGTCACTAAAATATTGTACTCTCATTGTTTTTGATATATAAAACAAATTTACTCATTTATCCAGTCGTTATAGATTATTAAATGCATTTACGATTTCCTTCGGGCAAAAGAAATCAGAAGTATTTATCTGTTCATCTATATACTAGACCGAGTTTGGCATTTCCATGATGACAAGAAGCTGTTTCTTATTCTTAGATAAGTATAAAAAGTGAATAGGTGATATCATGTATTCATTTCGATTAGGTGACCAATTCAAAACATCATACCACCGATAAATACTGATGATTTTTAGTAAAAATCATCAGTATTTATCGGTGGTATGATTTGTAAAAAATTTTTACAAATGAAGATACATTGCCGGGTTCAGCAACTGCTCTGCCAAGCCCCCATCTTTACTCCTCACAAAATAATAACTGCTGTATGTGTGAAGGAGAAACTTCAGCATATTCGAAGAGTGGTGTAAATCAAACGTGAATTCTCAAAAACTCCAAAGATCTTTAAAAAATTTGAAAATCACAAAATTTTTCAAAAGACAGTATCATCAAAACGTGTAAGTTTTTTTACACTTTATACTTGCAGTTATTCAGATAAATTTAAAAAAAAAAACCTAGGCTTTTTGATATCATAGACAACCGATTCTTTAAATAAAAATGGAACTCAAAAATTTTCATATTTTGTGATTGGGCATCTACAAAATTACTTTGTTAAAATCACTCTGATTCTACCCATAAGTACTCTGGGGTTGTCATTAAAAGGATGCTGGAGTTCCTAATTGAAAACATCTAGTATGTAGTCTTTTTAGACCAGGTCTTCCAACATACTGTTTGAATTCCGTTGGATAGTGATTGTGTTCCTTAATACCCGACCTGTTTTTTATACTAGTATTTCAATGAAGCAGAATTTATTCAACATCGTCTACATGCGAAAGAGTGCTGTGGCCTTCACCTACACATTCAGATAATATCTTATATCGATAGCGTTTTATCAATTAGTAATACTAGTAGTTACTTCCAATGACATTCACATGTCGGCTCGATATATCTATATGAATTTGAAATAAAAGATACCACAGAGTCTGCCACATCTGTTTCATATTTGGATGTCTTACTGACTCTAGACGATAAGGACCAACTAATAACTATGACGAACGAGGTCAGCTTTTCCTTCGTCAACTTTCCTTATTCATGTAGTAATATTCCGTACCTCCTGTATATGGTGTTTGCGTCTCCCAACTTATTCGATACTCAAGAGCATGCTCTGAGTACGATCAATTCTAAACCGAGACAAGCTGCTAACAAATAAGAGAGTGTTTCATGGATTTCAACAACCCTGTATAAAGTTTGCGTTTTGAAAATCTACGGTCGTTAAAATGACCTTGTTTGTAAATACAACCCATTTGTCTGACATGTTTCATACTATTTGTTAAGTCATTGCTTTTCATAATTAGACTAAGGAGTACTCCTTCTACCTGATCATTACATAGCGCTCACGGCGGGTGTGACCTGTCAACAGGGGATGCTTACTCCTCCATTGCACCTGATCCCACCTCTGGGTTCCTAGGGGTCCATGTTTTCCCCCTTTTCAAGATTCATTCATGTTTATTGCAGTATGAGGTTGATCACTGTTCATTATCTTCCCCTATTACATTTTTCTCATGATCTGGATTGATAATTTTTTTGAGTTATTCAAATTTAGTGAAAATTTATTATGAATTTATTAAATAGAAAACTGCCATCATTTGGACTAGATTTGTACTAAATAATGAAAAAAAGCTTTACTTATACACCACATATTAGACCAGAATTAGAATTTGTTTCCTTTTAATGGGAAGAATAATATGGGTGATACTGAAAAAAATGAACCATGTGCTGCAGTGAAGCATAAACATGATGGGAAAAAAGTGCAAGATTGATAATATACAAATTTTAAAATAAGGTATTTCCTGAATATCAGAGTTATATTCCATCATTCTTTCAAACTCGGTGGACCGAGGGAAAAAAAACTTTGAAATGCATGTATCAGATGATTCGAGACATCGAAATTAAAATGCATAAAGAAAAAAGTGACTGGGATTTTTAACTCACGTCGAAAAATCCATGGTATTCGAGATATAACAAAGTTCAAATGTACTAGTATGGAATGAACAAAAAATTCACGATATTATAGCATAGCTATAAATTGAGATAACAAACTTATGTCAGTTTTTTTCCTGTTGCTGCTGAAAAATGGAATTTTCTCACCTTATAAATTATGAACAGTTTCAGTACCTTAACTTGAAGTAATAACCATATGTAATCCTTCTTACTTAACTTAATTGTGGAAATCACTGCTTGAAAAATATAGAATAATATATTATATATTTACAACATATAAGACTTCATCCTAAATGTGTGTTAAAGAGCGATCTTTCCGGATTTTATATCATGGACATTTTCCACTTTTCAACAAGAGCACAGGGGAATCATTCCCCTGTGCTCTTGTTGAAAAGTAGGAAATGGTCATTTTTATTTATTGCCATGTCATAAATGTACCTGTAAAAGCCATATTTTTTCATAAATGTTTTTGAATTTTTGAATGTGCACACTATTTTCTATTTACAATCGGTCTGTGTATTGTGTGTGTGTTTGTAGGGTGGTGGTGCTGATGGGGGTTGGGGGTTCACTGCCCCAGATAATGAGTAAGTACCTTTTCATTTGTTCAATGATTTATCAA